CTGGCAAGGAAGTGGAAGGAACTCAGAAAAGGGAGTCAAGTTAGAAGTAAAGCGGGCATGGCAGGGGCCCCTCGTGGAAGGGGAGCTTGAGCTGCTAGCTACCCACGGAACCTTTGGCAAGTCACTATTTCACCACTCTGTGCCTCAGTTTCTTCAACTGTAAAATGAAGGGGTTGACCGCATGACCTCCAAGGTCCTCCTAGCTCCAAGTGGAAGCTCCTAAGTGCCGACCACGTCCTCTAAATCACCCCCCTCTAGTTCTGTCCATTGGAGTTGGGTACGTGGTTCAGATAGTATCCAACTAGATGATCAAACTCAGAATGCCGTTGGAATTCTGCAGAAATTAGAAACAAGGTGAAGCCTAAGTAAATGTTACAGATACCGGAAAGGATGAAGGAGAGCTCAGGAAGTGTTTAAAGTCTTCTGGTCTAACCACCAAAGATTCCACTTACTTCAATTAATCATACCATCATAGATTAAGGGCTGGAAGGGCTCTTAGGGGTCATCTAGTCTAACCCCTCATTTTACAGATGAAGAAACTGAGGTAGAGTGGTCACACAGCTGCTAAGTATCTTGAGTAGAATTTGGACCAAGGTATTACTGACTCCAAGTCATTTCAAGAGATGGGGTAGGGGGAGATAAAGAAAGAAATGCCTCAGAGAGGAGAAGGGAGTACCTGAGGGCCTTCCCTGCTGCCTACAAATGTGCCAAAAAGACCTCTCCTGGTCCTAACCAGACCCTCCAGCTACGATCCCATGCCTCTCCTCTGGGCTACAGCTCAAGCCCTACCTAGAAAGCGCCCCAAAGACCCCCTGTCACAACTCTCACACCTTCCATTTTCTCCTCCACCTTTTGCAATCTGCCTTCTGTTCCTCCCCACTGGACCCACACTTCTCTCCTCCTGGCCCACTGCCTGGACCAGATACCTTTCCCCAGGCGTCATCCTCCTGGAGCTCTCTGCAGCCTTCTTCCCTGCTGACTGCTCTCTCCTCATGGGCCTCTCACCAGTCTCCTCTCTCATGGGTTTTTTCCTACCTGAGATCTCTCATAACTATGCCTTTCTCCCCACTCACAAAACCACCTGCTAATTCCGGCCCTTATGATCTCTGGCCCAGTAGATTTGGTCTCCCTACGTTCTGCCTCTCCCTTCTCCAGGCCATCCTCCACCCAGCTGCCAAACATATTTCCAAAGGACAGGTCTGATCATGCTACTTTCCTCCTCAAGAAGGCTTCCTAATGCTTCCATGGCTCCCTAATGCTGCTAGGGGAAACAAAAAACCCCTTTTCTCGGCATTGACCTCACTTCACAGTCTGGCTCTCACCAATCTTCGCACAGAACTCCTTCCCAATTCACACACCCTGTGTTCTAGCACAGCAGTTCTCAAAGGGTGGTCTGCAAGGTCAAAACCCTTTTCATAATAATACTAAGATGTTTTCATTTCTAATAAGGTCGATGTCAGTAGATAGGACCCACATAAACATATAACATAAATATTAACACATAATCATAAACCCACATAAATCCCTCTTTTGGGGATACCCACTGTTTCAGTTGGAGAACCTCTATTCTAGACCAAAGCTCTCCTTGCTGTTCCACCTCCCGAGGGCTACTCCCCTGGGCCTGCAATGCTCTCCTACTTCCCCACCACCTGCCCGGACCCCTCCTTTCTCCATATTTCAATGCCCTTCCCTTCACAAGACCCACAAACAGCCTGTCCCTTCTGCCCTAAGATGAGATTGCTCAGTAACTGCTCAGAAAGTACCTTCATCCCTTTGGGACCTTTTCAAGAATAAAAACCACTTTGAGCAGAGATGCAAACAGGGCTCATTTCATCCCGTTTCCCCTTTTTGAAGCCCGGGCATTTGGCTGACCTCTCTCCAGTCTCCTGGCGATCCTTTCCAGACGTCCCCCCCCCCATGATAACCAAAGCCTCTGCTGGGACTTCAGCCAACACCTTTTGTAGAAACACACGACCACGTCATGAGGGTCGGCAGGTTGGAATACATCTGGGTTCCACAAGTCACTTTTCAACACGTTTTCCCTTCTCCCAGTCTGCTCTTTACCTTCCCAAAGCAGCACAAGGTCTTAAAGAACTGTCCCCACTTAGTCTAGCCCCTCTCCAGTGCCCGCTTTACATCCCCGCCCAAAAAAATCTTCCTAAAGCACCACTGGGTGATAAAGTGACGAGTGGTGAACTTGCATTCAGGAATCCTGAGTTCAAATCCTGGCTCAGGTATTTACTAGCTTGTAACCTTAGGCAACAAGGGTAGGTACATGGCACAGTGGATGGAGCCCTGGGCTTGGAATCAGGAAGAGCCATCTTTATGAGTTCAAATCTGGCCTCAGACACTTACTAGCTGTGTTACCCTGAGCAAGTCACTTACCCCTGTTTGCCTCAGTTTCCTTATCTGTACAATGAGCAGGAGAAGGAAATGGCAAACCACTCCAGTATCTCTGCCAAGAAAACCCCACATGGGGCCACAAAGAGCCAGACACAACTAAAATGAGTGAACAACAAAACTTGAGGGAAATCATTTCCCTGAGCTCAGTTTCCTCATCTGTAAAATGAAACAACTGGACTCAGTCTCTAAGGAACCTTCTAGCTCTAAATCTATGATGGATACTATGATCCTGAGTCACTACACTGCTCTGGGGCTCAGTTTCCTCATCTGTAAAATGAGGCTGGACTTGACGGTCTCTACGGCCCCCTCTCACTCTAAATGTATGATGTCCTCTTACTCAAAACCTCCAGCAGCCACCCGCTGCCTCTATAAGAAAGTGTCAATTCTTAACACTGACATTCAGAGCCTCCTACAAGCTGTCTTGGATCTACTTGCCCAGATCCTCCTGCTCCCCTTCACAGGCTCCTTCCTGTCCAGGGAAATACTGATGTTCTCCAGGCCCTGTCCTCATCCTCCCTCTCCTCTCTCCTCCTAGGCTCAGACTGTTTCCTTGGAGTACCTTTCTTCCCACAAGGACCACCTCCTCTCTACAGCCTTCCCTGGCTACCACTACCCCCAAGGGAACCTCATAGAATTACAGACTCAGATGCGGCGAGGATCTCAGAGGTCACAGAGTCCAGCCTCTTCCTGGGCAGAAATTCCCTCTGCAACCTTCCCCAACAATGGGCATCCAGCCTTCATCTGGAGACCTCTGCTGAGGGCCAAATGAGCACCTTCTGAGACCACCCACTGTACTCTGGGATCCTTCCAGGTGTGAGGAAGTTTTTGTTTTTGCCTCTATAGTTAACAGAAATCTCCCTTTCTTTATTTTCCACCCTGGAGGGCGGCACCCTAGGGCCAACTGAGGGAGGTGGCAGATGGGGCACCTACTACTCTGGGCAGAGGAATTACACTCTGGTGTCAGCGCTGAGGGCAGAGCCAGTTCCAGATCTGTATCTGAGACCCTAGGCTGCCACCCCGACACTTCAGAGAGGCCAGCATCAACACGACATGAGTAATTTGTTTCAAGAAGAGGCATCAAATTCCAGACTCTCTGTGTATTTTCAGAAAAGTATTCCATTTCCCACATCTCAGAGGAGGGCTAGCATCACCTCACTCCCCCAAACCAGGACAAGCCAGGTACACAAGAACAGAAACACTCCTGGTTAAACCTCTCTGTATTCCACAAATTCCAAGGATCGCTCCCAAGCAAGGCCCCCCACAGTAGACCGGCCAGCAGCCTTCCTACCCTGGAGAAAAGGCACCTTGGGACCCTCGTCCTTTTGCCTGTGACCATCTCTGCTGGGTCATTATTTCAGGAAAAGGTCTCCCTGCTCCACTCTCAGCTCTCTGACCATCTTCATGGCCCCCAAAAGTGCCCCCTTCTTCCTGCCAGCCAAAGCCCCAGTTCTTGAACCACCATCAAATCAACTCAGCCAATTCTTTCTGACAGGGTGAGTCAATCCATTCCCCTCCCTGGGACCTCACTCACCACCTTTCTAACTTTCAGGACCAAAGCTCCCCAACCTGGCTCTCACTCTCCTATTAGAATGTAAGCTCCTAGAGGGCAGGGACGTGGCATTCGTATCTCTCTCCACTGCTCAAGCATGATCTCTGGCACATATGAAGGGCTTAATAAATGTTTTCATTCATTCATAGAACTAGAACTAGTAATCTAGTCCACTGACCTCATTTTACAAATGAGGAGATTGAGACTCAGGAACACACAGGTAGCAAAAAGAATAGCTAACATTTTTATTTCACTTCAAGGTTTGCAAAGCATCTTCCCTCATTCTCTCATTTGAAGATCACAAAAGCCCAGTGAGGCCAGTGCAGTTATTATACCCATTTTACAGATGAGAAAACAGAGTCCAAGAGCAGTTAAGTAACTTGCCCAGGATCAGACAGCTAATAAATACCAGACCAGGATTTGAACTCGTGTCTCTTGCCTGTGTCCAGCTGCACTCTGCGGGGACAGCATAGGACAATCAATCAGTCTCCCTACTTCCAGCTTCCTGCTTCCAGAGCAGCTGGGGGTTTTGACAGTTAATTTGACCATTAACTGGTTAACCCCATTCATTCCTTCACTGCCCTGATTCTTTCATCACTATCTAGAATCGCAGAATTTTCCATTTGAAAGGGAGCTCAGAGAGCATTCAATTCAATCAGCTCATTTTCCAGACAAGGCCTAATTCCAGGAAAACTGATTTTCTAGCAGCTACTTAATGCCACTTGCAAAACTTGAACCCAGATCTCTTGACTCCCCAGTCCAATACTGTTTACTGCATTCTCCCTTAAGTCTCAATTCCTTTCATGCCATAGAACTGTTAAAAAGACACTTAATAGAAAGGTGGTGTCCTACCAGTTCAGAACGCTACATACACAGTCTTCCATCGTAGATGGTTGTTCTGTTTGCCTGTTTTTCTTTGTTGGGGGTGGGGGAAGGGGGGCAGGGGAGGGGATTCCAATGAGAAGGCTGGTCATTGGGGAAGAGAGTGACGTAAACAAAGACTCAATCAAACATTGGCTAAAGAATTAGAAGGTTTTATAATTCCAACCTGGTTCTTCTGAGCAATCTTCTGTCCCTTTTTCCATCGAAGAATGGGTGTAAGAGGAGGCAGCTCCTTCTCCTCTTTTCCAATCACGTGGTCCCCAAGGCTGTAGGCAGCTTCAAACACAATTGGACTGATGACGTCCTTGACCCTCCGCTGAAAAAGCAAACAAATACACACGTTACACGGAGGCCCTGGCAGGCCCCACCGCCATTCGGCCACAGTCGGCTGAACAGCCTTGCCATGCAGTTGGGCGGGACTTGGCCCAGCTTCCAATGGAATACAACCATCTTGTATTCACTGAATACAATGACTTCATACTTATGCGCTAGCGGACAAACCACCCACCCAAGACGTTCAGTGAGTTGCCCAATGGTCAATGGTGGAGCCAGGGCCAGAAGTCATGTCTCCCGACTCCCAGGCCACTGTTATTTCCATTGGAGAGATAAGTAATGGTGCACCCAGAAATAAAACCCACTTGCCCTGAGCCCTGGGACAGGCCACTGCTCACTTCCCTTGCGTTCTTCTTCTAAGTGCCACACATGGGACCCCCAGGACAAACCTAGGAGAGGAACGAGGAGATCCGAGAATTCCCAAACTGCAAAGTGGGGCAGAATCTTAGGAGCCACATCACCCCCCCTTCTCATGTGAAAGCCCATGCATGAGCCCTGCCAATGAGGGCCTTTCCTGTCCCCTTCCTCCTTGGGATGACCCCACGTGCTGGGGAGCTTCTCCTGAGCCTGAATTTGCTTCTGCCTCTGACCTCTGGCTGCAAACAGCCCAAATCTAATCCTCCTCTATATGCATCCCTCCGAATACTTGAGGACAGGTAGGATGCTGCCCCGAGCCTCCTCTTCCCCAGACTAAACATGCCCAGCTTCTTCCACAGATACTCACAGGGCTTGAACTGGAAGTCCTTGCCCCATGGTTCACCAATACTATCCTGAAACTGGTACCCAGAACTGAACAGAAGGCTCCAGACAGGGGTCTAAAGGTACAGGACACTGGAATGATCACCCCCTTATTCCTGGCAATTACACAGCTCGTAACACAGACTCGGCCACCGTACCCACTGTGGGCACCATGACTTGCTGATCACTGGGACCCTCAGATCTACTTCAGACAAACTGCTCCCATCTGATACCTAGGACACCATGTTGCTGTTGGTGTTTTAACCCAAGGCAAGAGTTTACACATCTCCCCATTAATACAGGAACAGACACTGGGCCAGTGATTACATTAGTATAAAGAACTCCCCAATAAGAAAACCTCCTCTTCCAATGCATATAGACACCTTCTCTGCAAATTACATTCTTTACCAACAATTACTTATTTTCAACATTCACTTTTTAAAATTTTGAGTTCCAAATTTTCTCCCTCCCTCCAGTCTCTCTCCATCCATTGAGAAAGCAAGCAGTATGATATCAGTTAAGTGGAACACATATTTGCACATTAGGCATGTGTAACTTATATTCTCAAAGAACTGCCTAGAGCCCCAAGAGGTTAAGTGACTTGCCCAGGGTCACACAGCCAGTGTGTGCCAGAGGAGAGCTTTGAACCCAGGTCTTCCTAACTCTGTGTCCAGCACCGGCACCACACAGGGTATATTTTTGCCAACAAAAGACTCGAGGAAGTGACAAGAAGTGGCTGGGAAATACATTGCTTTGGTGGTTCTTACATTTATCTGGATTTCGATGTTATGGCCCATTGAGACTCACTCTGGAAAACCCTTGTGCACTTCAGAGTCACTGTGGAGGAAATGGGTTTCCCAGGTCTGCTCCGCTTTTATGGAAGCCACGAGGAGGGATCCAGGACCCCCAGTCCCTGGCCACCATGCCCTTTTTTTTTCCACTTCTGGTTTTATAGACTTCACAAGGCAAATATCTGAGCTTCATGCTTTCCATAAAGAACATATAAGCATCAGCATATGGTAACACCCTGCATGTACAGAGGTCATGCAAAATTTGGCAAGCTCAATAATCTGGAATATAGCCATGAACCTGGAAGTTTAGAAAAAAGAGAGGGAGAGTCCAAGCCCTTGAAACAATGGTCACAGAGCCGATACATTATACTATGAAAAAGAGGCCTCTGCTCAGAGCGTATTAACTCAGTTTACCAAAAATCCCAGCAAACACATTTATCATGCCAGGAGCACGCCAGAAGTAGCCAACCAGAAACCAAAGGCCATTGGCAGGGGCAGAGGGGAAAATGGGGGGATGAGGGGAAGAACGTTGTTGTAGGCAGGACATGAAGAAACCATTTAAAGTCAGGGACCATACCTTACATGTCTATACATCCTCATAGCTAATCCTCTTTAAGTATGCTTTGATTGATTAGTTGATTGGATTAAGGGATAGAGAAAAAAACAGTCACTAGCTATGTCACTAACTATGAAAGCAGAGCAATCTGGATCCATTTAGCTCTGGGATGAATAGCCTTCCATATTTCAGGAGCCCAGGGGAAGGGAGCAGAAAGGGAGGAGGTAGACATATATTGCACTTATAAGAAGCCTGAGTCACACAGAAAAGGTTAGATTCTATTGCGTTCAGAGGATTCCGATTAAGAAAGTGAGCAACATTTGCCACATTTTAAAAAGAAAGAATGAAAACACTTTTCTTTTCTTTTGAAAGGCTTGTTTTGAATCCCACAGAATAGAGAAAGATGTTCAAGAAGGGCTCCAAGCCCCTTTGACAGATAGACTATGGAGGTTGATGGGACTACACAGAGAAGCATCCTCCAGAGTGAGAAGGCAGAGCTAGGTAGCAGAGAGCTCACGTTGAGGAAGCACAGATCACTGATGGCCTGAAATACCTGGCACCAAAATGGGTTTTCTTTAGTTATGGATGCACCTAAAAATCATGTAGAATGAAATCCCACCTCCGTTACTTACTACTTGTGTGACCTAGAGCAAGTTACTCGGCCCCTCAGCTGCAAATTGAGAGCATTGACCTGGGTGACCTCTGAGGTCCCTCTGAGCTCTAAGCCTGTGAACCTGTGTGACCTTCATCAAGGCCCTTGGCATCTCTGAGCCTCGCTGCCCTCATCTGTAAAATAAGACGGTTGGCCTATATGGCATCTGAGGTCCCTTTTAGCTTTAAAATCTATAATCCCATGAAATGACAGAAACAGAAATCGAGCCACCAAGGCAGACTCAAGGCCATATGCCCAACTGCTGCCCTCCCAGAGAGTTCATCCTTTTGCCTTAACCCGTTCAAAGGCCCTCAGTCTCAATGACTCAGCCAGCACCAAAAAGGCTTCTGGGGACAGCTTTGTGACTCAGTGGGATAGCGCTCACACAGCCGAGGCTCAACAGCAGGATCATTTCCAAATCTGGGCTAGAACACCCAGCGTCACAGAGCTGAAGGGGCCACCCAAAGTCATCAGGTCTAAGCTAGAGGTAAAGAGGAAGCCTTCAACAACACACCCAGAAAGTGGTCATCCAGTCGTCCCTAGAAGATGACCATGAGTGTGGCCAAGGAGGAGAGGCACTGGGCGGAAGCAGAGGATGGCCACGAGCATGGCCAAGGAGGAGAGGCACCGGGCAGAGGCAGAGGATGGCCACGAGCGTGGCCAAGGAGGAGAGGCACCGGGCGGAGGCAGAGGATGGCCACGAGCGTGGCCAAGGAGGAAAGGCACTGGGTGGAGGCAGAGTCAGAACGACTGGGGTCAAGGCCCAGCTCTGACACTGGCTACCTGCATGACCTTGGGTGAGGAAGTCACTCCCCAGCCTTGTTTTCCTCCTCTGTATAATGAGAGTTGGACTAGATGTCCGAGGGTCCTTTTTCTCTGGCTCTGCTTTGCACAAGTCACTGGGCTTCAGTTTCCTCTACTGTAGAGAAATCTAGGCATTAGATTAGATATCTTCTATTAGACATTTAGAGATATTCAGTCTCTTCCAGACTCTAAATCTATAATACTCTGAGGAGGAAACCAGCATCTCTGGAGGGGGCCGTTCTGCACTGAGGCAGCTCCCATCATGAGCCTCTAGGACTTCCCACTGTCCCCAGCTCTGCCCTCAGGGCCTGGCCTTTCCTGTCTTACTCCAGATTCCTCCCAACCCAGCCAAAACCACCCATCAGCTCTTCCCCAATCGTCTCCTATCTCCATACCTCCATACAAGCTGCATCCCCATTCCCCATGGAATTCGGTACAACACATGTTCAAGTGCCTATTGTGGCTACAAAGGCAAAAACCTCCAACACAAAAGGCCCAAAGCTCCAGAGCATATTTCTCACCTCCCCCTTGAGGCACTCAAGAGCCACCTCTCCCACGTGGCCTTCCCTGGTGTCTCCCCCTCTTCCACGTGGTCTCCCCTAATGTCTCCACCTCTTCCATGTGGCCTCCCCTGATGTCTCCCCCTCTTCCACATGGCCTCCCCTGGTATCTCCCTCTCTTCCACGTGGTCTCCCCTAATGTCTCCACCTCTTCCACGTGGCCTCCCCTGGTCTCTCTCCCTCATCCACGTGGTCTCCCCTAATGTCTCCACCTCTTCCATGTGGCCTCCCCTGATGTCTCCCCCTCTTCCATGTGGCCTCCCCTGGTGTCTCTCCCTCTTCCACATGGTCTCCCCTAATGTCTCCACTTCTTCCACATGGCCTCCCCTGGTATCTCCCCCTCTTCAATGGTTTGGAGGGTGGGGGTGAGATATTACTTTGTGGTTCATTTGCATCATCAGGATACATACTATGTCCAAGGTGAGTATAAACTCCTCAGAGAGGCCTGTTTCCTCTTGGGCAATCCCTAGTGCATTATATATAGTAGATGTATAACAAATGTTTGTTGATTTGAATTTAATTGAAGCAAGACAAATCTAATCCTTCTTCCACATGGTGCCCATTCAAATTCTTAAAAATAACTCGTATCCCCACCCCCAAGCATTCTCTTCTCCAGGCTAAACAGCCCCAGGCTTTTCAGTCCATCGTCAGATGGCATGATGGAGACCCTTCACCATCTAGGTCACCTCTCGGGACTCTCTCCAGCTTATTGATTTCTTTCCTAAAATGTGGCATCCAGAACCTAACAAAACACTCTAGACATGACGGTGATTATGGAAGAGGCTGATAGGGAACACCAAGTACTTTACGTGTTATTTCACTTGAGGCTCAAAACAAGCGAGCTAATGTTATTAAACCCATTTTATAGGTGAGAGGAAAGAT